CGTCCTGGCGCTCACGTCACCCCGCTCATGACGTCTTGCTGCTCCATTGGACTGATTTTAGACGTGCTTCAGAACGCGGTAAGGCAGGGGCGTTCCCAAACCGATCTCGACGCAGCGTCTCGTTCCCTCGGGGAACCATGGTTACATACGTACTTGTGCTTACTTGCTAACTCTATATTGCAAAAAATACTTACTCTATATTGCAAAAAATCTCTCAGAGTCCATATTAATTCAGTGCAATGCAAAGAAGAGAATCACATAATATCATTCACACACACACAGAGGTCTCTCACTCTCTTCTTGCAGCCCCTCTGTCCTCTGTCACAGACATACTAGGTTCATGCACTTATTCTTACTATAGGAGAGAAACAAAAACTTTTCAATGTTTTTTACTTTATGTATGGTGACAATTTGGAAAATGCTGAAATGTGACCATGGACCACAAAACCAGTCATAAGGGTGAATTTGAATCGAAAGAATTTTTAAGATGAATAAATAAGCTTTCCATTGATGTATGAATTGTTAGGATATGACAATAGTTGGCCGAGATACAACTATTTGAAAATGTGGAATCTGAGGGAGCAAACAAATCTAAATATTGAGAAAATCGCCTTTAAAGTTGTCCAAATTAAGTTTTCAGCAATTCATATTACTAATCAAAAATTAAGTTTTGATATATTTACAGTAGGCAATTTACAAAATATATTCATGGAACATGATCTTTACTTAATGTCCTAATGATTTTTGGCATAAAAGAAAAATCTATAATTTTGACCCATACAATGTATTTTTGGCTATTGCTACAAATACACCCCAGCGACTTAAGACTGCTTTTGTGGTCCAGGGTCAAAAATAAACAATAGAGCCGATTTCTTGTAATGTTCTTAGTTTTAAAATAATTGTTCTAGTTTCTCTCACACTCTCTCTCTCCATTCACACAACTCACACGGCAATACACACATGCTAGCGGCAGCTCTGTCCCCCTTACACTCTCTCTCCCTTGCTCCACACACACGCATATCACACAAGTCTCAAACCCAAGTCAAAGCCATTTATTTATCATGCCATAGAAGCCACAAACAGACATAAAAACATTTACATTCATGCACAGCTCATCACAGCCAGCGCAGTAAGTACCTCAGCCAAATGACTAATACAACACACCTAACAATACTAAAACAACCCAGACACACACACACACAGCTGCTCTGTTCTCCTTCTCCCTGCACTTCTGCTTTTGCTTTCACTCTTTGCTGGCACTCACAGAGACTTTCACTCTCACACACACAGAGGTTCCTTGCTTACACACACACAGCTGCTCCTTCACTCCCACTCAGTGCTTCCACTCTCACTCCCTCCGTCACACACACACACACACAGATCAGATGAGAGAGAAACACCTATGAGTGAAGTGCATTTAGCCACTTTGAATGTCAATGGTGCAAGAGATGTTAGAAAAAGAGCAAATATATATGAAGTAATTATACAGAAAATTATTGATGTTGCTTTTTTACAAGAAACCCACAGTGATGTGAAAAATGCTGTTGACTGGGTGAGGGAGTTTGATGGCACTGCTGTGCTAAGTCATAATACTTCAGTCAGTGGGGGGGTGGCCATTTTATTTGCAAAGAACTTTAGTCCTGTTTCTTACGTAGTTGATGAAATTGTTAAAGGTAGGCTCTTAAAAGTTCGAGCAGTTTTTGAAAATTATGTGTTTATTTTTATTTGTGTGTATGTTCCAACTGTACCAGTTGAAAGATTAGTTTTTTTAGACACACTGTGTTCGACCTTACAAAACTGTTGCCCTGAGGAGTTTTTGTTTCTAGGTGGTGATTTCATTTGCACTGAGCTCAATTTAGATAGGAATCACATTGAACCTCATTTAGCTTCACGTAACCGTCTTATTCATATGATTAAAAAATATGAATTATGTGATATTTGGAGGTCTTTAAATGGCAGTGAAAGGCAGTACACTTGGGTTCACAAACGTGATAATGTTATATCCTTGGCCAGACTGGACAGATTTTATAGTTTTAACTTTCATCTCAACATTTTTAGTAGGTGTTATATTACACCAGTAAGTTTTTCAGATCACAGTATGGTGCATTGTCATTTTATTCTAAACTCAATTAAACCCAAAAGTGCATATTGGCACTTGGTTAAGCTCACTTACGCGGCCCACGCTGTAAAGGTGGCGTCCGCGGTGAGTGTGGAAGATTGTTGTTTGGCAATTGGAGAGGTGGTGGGGCATGAGAGTGTGCTGTCCGCCTCAAGAATGAACTTTTTACTTTTTCCTTTAACAATGATTGTGTTTCACAATTTGGATCACAGTGTCGACAACTTGGATGAGATTCAAACAGTCGACAAAGCCATTTTTAAAAAATATATTCTTTGTTCTTTTTCTTTCAACTCTTAGAATTCTCTTTATACACTCTACTCTTCATTCAATATACATATTATTTCTATTTATGTCTATTTTTATATTTATTTATTTTTACTTTTATTGTTCTCACAATTACCTATACTGATTTGTCATTCCAATTTAACCAAAAATATGTACATAAATCATGTATACAAAGCACATTTATTTGCAGGCACAACACAAAGCAACCAGTAGGGTTAATATCTCAGCCACTTCCTACGGGGGCACCACCAAGGCTATGCATAACAAACCTACAAGCAGCTCCTCTGCTCCCCCAAGCACCCCCGCATGGGAAGTGGCAACCACAGGCTTTTTATGCCTCTCTTAGGCACTGTGCACCTCTTATGACCTCAAATTTCTTATCAATCTTCTGCATGCGCGACTTTTGAGATCTGGAACTCCTTAATTACTACTTACTTTATATTTATTCAATTTAAACTCAATTTCTTAGATTCTGACTAATACAACACACCTAACAATACTAAAACAACCCAGACACACACACACACACAGCTGCTCTGTTCTCCTTCTCCCTGCACTTCTGCTTTTGCTTTCACTCTTTGCTGGCACTCACAGAGACTTTCACTCTCACACACACAGAGGTTCCTTGCTTACACACACACAGACTCTCACTCCCTCCGTCACACACACACACAGATCAGATGAGAGAGAAACACCAATCAGCCTTGATCTCTGAATGAACTTTTTACTTTTTCCTTTAACAATGATTGTGTTTCACAATTTGGATCACAGTGTCGACAACTTGGATGAGATTCAAACAGTCGACAAAGCCATTTTTAAAAAATATATTCTTTGTTCTTTTTCTTTCAACTCTTAGAATTCTCTTTATACACTCTACTCTTCATTCAATATACATATTATTTCTATTTATGTCTATTTTTATATTTATTTATTTTTACTTTTATTGTTCTCACAATTACCTATACTGATTTGTCATTCCAATTTAACCAAAAATATGTACATAAATCATGTATACAAAGCACATTTATTTGCAGGCACAACACAAAGCAGCCAGTCGGGTTAATATCTCAGCCACTTCCCGCGGGGGCACCACCAAGGCCATGCATAACAAACCTACAAGCAGCTCCTCTGCTCCCCCAAGCACCCCCGCATGGGAAGTGGCAACCACAGGCTTTTTATGCCTCTCTTAGGCACTGTGCACCTCTTATGACCTCAAATTTCTTATCAATCTTCCGCATGCGCGACTTTTGAGATCTGGAACTCCTTAATTACTACTTACTTTATATTTATTCAATTTAAACTCAATTTCTTAGATTTGATTTTGGTAAAGCCCTGTCTTAGAACACCATTACAGTCCTGACCTTAGCAAACCACGCAAACATTCCTACATCTAATATGAGCAAAAAGTTGCTTACCTCTCTTTTGATTTGTTTGCGTGTCAACAGGCCTTCACCTGCGATGGCTCTCGTCGATGCCGAGCTTCAGGCCAATCCTGTTCGTGATGCCAATGTGTTGTGGAACAAACAATGGTCTTCTCAAAGTCGTAAAATAAAACTCAAGAAACAGAGTTCCAGATGCCAAAATAAGACTTTGTTGAACACAGCAACAAAGCCGAGATGACAGCCGCCACATCTGAGTCTTTGTCTGTCCAGGCAGCCACACTTATACCTCGTTCTTATCAGTCTTTTTGACCAGAAATTGACAACTTTGCCTCTGATTGGTTTTACGCCATTAGTTTTGCTGCAATGAATTTATACTCCTCTTGGTTTCTTTTCTAATCGTAGACTCCTGCTGGTTTGAACCATTTTCCATTTCAACCTCAGTCTCATCTTCTCTCCGTAGATGCAGGTGTCCTCATGGCCATTTATCATACTTGTTTGTTCCATCCTTGACATATTCTTGGAAGTCACCCAAAGTTCACTAGTTCATTGGTGCTGCCCAATGGATAGTACCATACTTGCCCAGTAGGGGGCACCTAAGACTCACAGCCTATATTAAGACTTCCAATATTGAATTAATCATTAAAACAATCACCATATTGATTGTAATTATTACCATACATAATATTTTTGAGTAAAAATTCACAACATTCTCTGCAACAGATCTGAGTTAAAATTATGCTTCTAATTGTAATGATTTTGCTTAATACAGTTAATTTTAAGAGATGTCTTTTTTAGTGGACTTATGTGAAATAAGTTCAGAGTACTAATATGTCCACCTGATAAATATTAGTTTATAATTATAATTATATAGTTTATAAACAAATTGCAGTTGGCCAATTTAAGGCAGTAAGTTTCTGCAAATTACACTAAAAAATAAATGTGGTTTTAATATAGTGCAGTACAGTACTGTGCTGTAAAGCAGGTAAACTGAGAACTGTAAATTAGCAGTAAACTACAGACAAATGTGCTGCCAGTATTTTACCATTACTTTATAGGCAATTAATTTATAGACAATTTTTACCACAATGTAATTCTAAATACTGTAAAATAACTAAAATTAAACAATGCTTTGAAGGTGAAGCTGATGCCAGTCAATTACTGCAAATTTACAGTGAAAAGTTTTACAGTGTAGGAGTCGCTGGTTTCTTTGCTTTCTAGGGCCTTTTCATTTTCTTTTTAGCAGCAGGTTTCTTTACCTTCTTCAGGGATTTCTTAGCTGCTGTGGTTTTGGGCTTTTTAGTGGCGGCAGGTTTCTTGGCTGCGGGTTTCTTGTCTTTAGGAGTGGCTTTCTTGGTGGGTTTTGTCTTGGTCTCGGCTTGTTTCTTGTTGAGCTTGAATGAGCTGAAGGTGCCGGTTCCTTTGGTCTGGACCAGGGTGCCTTTCCTCTCCTTAGATGCGGACACAGTGAGCTTGCTTGGGGCCCATTGTCTTGTGTTTAGCTGCTGATATCTTCTTGGCTGCTTTGGTCTCAGTAGCTGCTGGATCGGTTTCTGCCATGATCTCTATGAATGAAAAACATTGTTATTTTTTTTTTTGCTCATGCTTAATACAGTTAATTTTAAGAGATGTCTTTTTTAGTGGACTTATGTGAAATAAGTTCAGAGTACTAATATGTCCACCTGATAAATATTAGTTTATAATTATAATTATATAGTTTATAAACAAATTGCAGTTGGCCAATTTAAGGCAGTAAGTTTCTGCAAATTACACTAAAAAATAAATGTGGTTTTAATATAGTGCAGTACAGTACTGTGCTGTAAAGCAGGTAAACTGAGAACTGTAAATTAGCAGTAAACTACAGACAAATGTGCTGCCAGTATTTTACCATTACTTTATAGGCAATTAATTTATAGACAATTTTTACCACAATGTAATTCTAAATACTGTAAAATAACTAAAAATAAACAGTGCTTTGAAGGTGAAGCTGATGCCAGTCAATTACTGCAAATTTACAGTGAAAAGTTTTACAGTGTAGGAGTCGCTGGTTTCTTTGCTTTCTAGGGCCTTTTCATTTTCTTTTTAGCAGCAGGCTTCTTTCAGGGTGCCTTTCCTCTCCTTAGATGCGGACACAGTGAGCTTGCTTGGGGCCCATTGTCTTGTGTTTAGCTGCTGATATCTTCTTGGCTGCTTTGGTCTCAGTAGCTGCTGGATCGGTTTCTGCCATGATCTCTATGAATGAAAAACATTGTTATTTTTTTTTTTGCTCATTGAAAAGCCTCCCGTGGACTGGTGTTGAAAATTAGCATGTGTGCTAAAACACTTAAGCAAGTGCATATGGTTCGTCCAATGTAACTGTGGTATCCATGTCAAATTAAGCATATATATATAATAATAATAATCTGAACTCTGACTGTGATCACCAATGAGCTGCTGCAGGGCAGCGCTGCAAGTTTAACCACAGCATGAGAACCATGTAGACTCAATCAGCTCTGCTCAGTGCAGGGGTGTCCAATCCTGCTCCTGGAAGGCCACTGTCCTGCAGAGTATATCCCTCCAGATTTTTTCTCTGAAAGATTGCAGCATCACTTTGTTATGCTTTTAAAATGTACAAAATAGTATCTTCCTTTGTTCTTCAGATTATAGAACTGAGATGAAAAACGAAGTGAGGAAATTTTCAGACAACAACTGAAACGTGAGACTTCCTTCCCCAAGCATCGCCGACTTTAACCTTGTTAATGGACACGTACAAGTTAACCCTATAGCACTCTCTACGGGTTACGTAGCACTAAACTTACTTGTAAAGTGTTATGTCAGAATAAAAATGCAAGTAATTCATAAGCATTTAATTACTTAATAAAGACTTGCTAGTTTTATTTTTTAAATATGTATTAGTTGTGCATACATTAACTCTACTAATGTACAAAATGTCACCTGCACCATCATTTTGAATCACGTTGGGTTAGATACTCTTAAAAATCTAACTCTTCCATGATTTAGGGTAAAATTATGAATTTGCATATATATTAATGAGATCTTATAATTTTTTTTTTTAGGTTGGGCCACAACCCATCCAGTACTGCTGCATCAACCATCACATCCCTGGTCTCACACCATTAGTGGTGTGAGACCATACTAAAGGCTTAATAGGCTGACACTGACAAATCTCTTCACATTCCTTTGTGACCATTATGATCATGGATGGCGCCTTGAGCTTGAAGTGGTTTCTTTGCTTTCTAGGGCCTTTTCATTTTCTTTTTATTGGGTAGTATCCAGAGCCTTTAACATAAACCCGCTCCACCGTCCATGGCATTGTTCACCATGTGGCAAGTACTATTGTGAGCAAAAGAGCCCAAGTAATTAATTTCCCAGGAATTGCAGGATATTGGAGATGGATTTTCACACCTCGGAGGATCTGCAGCTTTCAATGATGGCTGCCATCTGAGAATCAAGCACCTGATGCTCAACTGTTTTACTCAATTCAAATTCAAGCAGTTTGTGACCATAAAGGAAAGCTTTTAGACATCTTTGTAAGCTACCCAGGGTCAGTCCATGACTCAAGAGTTTTCAAAACAGCCCACTGTTTTGCCACCAGCTTTAACCACATTAGATTTTTTTTTACCCTTGGGAGACGATAGGTATCCCTGTTTATTTCAGCCAATCTCCTTAACTCCATACAGAGAGCTTGTCACAAGTCCAACAGAAGCTGGATTCAACCACCACCATTCAATGGCACGAAGCATCATCGAGAGGTCCTTTGGAATCATGAAATCAAGGTGGCGGAACATAGTTTTTTTAGGCTTCGGAGGTGAAGCCAAAAAACACTTACTTTATATGCACACACCACTATATTACATCAGTAACTTCTGAATGCTGCAGACAAACGTGAGATTACACATGAAAAAATGGTGTTCTGTATGTCTGCTCTATGGAAGCAAAATAATGCTGTATGTCTTTGAAACAAAAAAGCATATTGAATAGCACTAACTGAAAAAATAATGCATTGCATTAACAGTGCTTGCATTTTAATGCTTTGTATTTCCAGGGCTTGCATTTTTAGGTTCTGAAATTTAACATAGTTGTTTATTTAAGCTGTTAATATTTCAATTCAAAATATTTCACATACATTTGCATAATTATAAATTCAATAATTCATATTCACCTTCCAGAATTCACTTCCAAAATATTCATTCTGTTTAAAATGCGATGTATAATATCCGACACTGATCTGCAGAAATGGAGCAAGCGGTAAGTAGAAGTTATGATAATCACGGCCAGTATAAACATGTGGAAAAGCTGATTGTGTGTATGTTTAATTCAACATCTTGCTGTTTCCCGTAGCTTACATGGAAGCAGCTTTCTCTACCACAAATAAGATTATAATGCTATTTTACCCAACGCTGAAGTCCAGAACTAACATTACATCTGAGGAACACATATATTGCTTTTGGTTGCTTAGTTTCCTTAACTTTGTATCATGGCTTGTGTGACGCTGTGCTGTAATACTGCGGTTCCCCCTCATAGGTCACACTCCAGGATTCCCCAATGGCGTATAACGCGCCTCAAGCAAATGAGGTCAGAAGAACGCAACGCGCTGCATTTTCTTTATAATTACTTTCCCTTACCACACACTGATCTATAGAGTCGACAGTCCTACAAAGTTATCAATACCACGATTAGTTTTAACAATATGCAACCACTTTATATCGACATAAAAAAAGGAGTTCAAAACCGCATTATTTTGCTTCCTTACTGCTCCGCACACCTGCTCCACTTCCTGACGGTACGTGATGCACATGATGGTGACGTTGCAAATGTTGATTGGTCACATAAGGAAAGTTCAAGAAGCCTTTTGAACAACTGTATATTCATATTTATTAACTAATCAACCAGTCCCCTATAACATCTTATTAACCAAACTCTATTTTCATATTCAAAGAATAAGAATACAACCACCTGACACATTATAAAATGTTCCTTAAAGTTAACCTTAAGGTTAATCTTAATTTAAATATATTTCACATTTGCAATGATAGAACTGCCAATGTAGCATATAATATGACAAATAAATGAACTGATCCCCTGTAACCAATAACAACAAATTGCTTGCAACAGTATAAAAAAAAGCAGTTGAAGATGTTATTCATTTTTTGACATCTTACAAACAATTCGCTCCAACAGATTTATGAAATTTCCTCTCTTTTCTCCGATCTCTCCCTGGCCTCAAACCTCTCTGCCTCTTTTTCCAAGAACTCCAAAACTGGATCCCTATGTCTTTTTGCTGTCTTTTTGCCTCTTTCAAACGGGTCTGGAGCTGGATGCAGAAGATGCTGAAGCAATCAGAAAGGGAGGCTGAATAGATGGCCTCCTCCAATTGCTTCATGCATCAGGTCAAACCACTTCCAGGTGCCTACGGTTGTGTCCCCCAACTCAGTAACCACACCTGATGGTGGCTGCTTCAGTTACTGCAAATATTTTGGGAAATGATAAGAGTGAAACTTATCTCAGGGCTACTGTTTCATGTAACAAAAGCATACAGGGCCCTATCATACACTTGGCGCAATGCGCTATTTGCTATTGCTATTTGCTATTCACATTGCTATTTTGAGGCAACTGAAATAGACTGTGCCATTGACCAGCTGAAATCTGGTCTAAAGTCAATGGCGCAATTATTTTTTTTGTTAATTAAAGAGTGTGTTAGTAATATGCGCCTATAGGCGATTGAACAACACACGTACACTCTGCTTTAACCTCGCGAACAAGCAGAACCTTTCCTCTCAGTCTTCAGCGCTCAGTCTTTGTTCTTGCAAATTCCGCCATGTAAATAGCGAATCTGCCATGCCGCTAGGGCAACTGGCTTTTAAAGGGAATGGGAGATGAGACTCTGATTGGTTTATTGCATGTTACGCCCCAAAACACATCCATGACTCATCTGTGCCTTGCTCAAGGGTCTCTCTGCAGTCGTGGTATTGAGGTTGAAAGAGAGAGCTGCACATTCACTCCCCTCACGACAATTCCTGCCGGACCTGAGACTCGAACCCACAACCTTCGGGTAACAAGTCAGACTCTCTAACCATTAGATAATGACATTGATGCCATTAATGTCAAGACTGAATAAAGATGCAAATAGTAAAAGTAAGTCCAATTTCAAATTTGTTTTAAACTTTTGCTACAGACATAATTGCAAATGTTATGTATCATATAAAAGAAGCAAAATCACTAAAAGCAAATAATATATATTACAAGTGCTGTAAGCATAATACAAATATATCCTCTTGCATAATTAATTCTATCAGTTTCTTATGAACGTAACATTTTATAGCAGCACTCACTGTCCTACCTGAAAGTAGCATTTTGGCTAAACTGTTCAAAAACAACATATTTACTTGTGTGTTGACAAATGGAAATTTGGAAATGGAAGTTGCCGCTAGATGCCAGTGGCTGATATCTTTTGAATAATCAAAAGAAAAAAAAATATATATATATTTAAAAAAAATATCGCCTTATATAGATATTTTATTTGTGTTATGTACAGTGTATATATAAAACAAATTATTCTTTCATGTAACTCTATACAATTTTGTTCTTTATTGTTGTTCTTTGTTTAGCTTTATCGTGTCATATAAATAAAATTGTAATTTAGCTAGACTACATTTCTTGAGCTTCTATATATGAACTTTTGTGACCGACAGAGAAGATCAGTAAAACAGATAATTACCTATTTAATCATCACTGTTTGTCATTGTTGTTATAAACTGATTTCACTGCCAAAAATATTAAATAATCATGCTGAGCAGCGTTTCTTTTGCCAGTGAACAAGTGATTCTTCTCAGCCGGATGAGCTTTTCTACATCTAGATCGGACCCTGTGGTAATTATTTAGGCAACTGCAAGCTCCAGTAGTAACAAAATTATTTATTTGAAATCTGTCATGAAAACTAATGCGTATCTTAATTTAACAATTCATTAATACATTATAAAGAATCTTACATCTATAGGATTCCTCTCTGGATGCCATCTTGTGGTCAGACGTAGGAATTCATTTGGTGCGCGACCCTCACCAGTGCATTATGGGTATTTCTCTAGCCGTTGAGTGTACACCGGTTTTACACTCGTTATTGCTGTGCATTATGGAATTGAAAGAGTGCACTTGATAACGTTCACTATGGTTTTGGACACAGATGGCTGTCCCCTCAAACAGTGCCTTATTTAAGGGTATAGGGGGCAG